GGGTCCCTAGGGCTGCTTTTAGGGGTCTCTCCTGGTTCTCCTCTTCCCCCCCAGATGTCGATGAGTGCTCAGGGGTCCCAGGGCTGTTTTTGGGGTTTCTGGGGTCTCAGGGCTGGTTTGGGGTCCCAGGGCTGTTTTGAGGTCTCTCCTGGTTCTCCCCCTTTTCCCCTCCCAGACGTCGATGAGTGCTCAGGGGTCCCGGGGCTGTTTTGGGGAGTCTCTCCTGGTTCTCCCCCTTTCTCCCCAGATGTGGATAGAGTGCTCAGGGGTCCCCAGTGCCGGGGCTGTTTTAGGGGGTCTCTGGGGGTCCCAGGGCTGTTTTGGGGTATCTCGAGGGTCTCTCCTGGTTCTCCCCATTTCCCCCAGATGTCGATGAGTGCTCAGGGGTCCCAGGGCTGTTTTTGGGGGTTTCTGGGGGTCCTGGGGCTGTTTTTGGGAGTTTCTGGGGGTCTCAGGGCTGTTTTGGGGTCTCTCCTGGTTCTCCCCCTTCCCCCCAGATGTCGATGAGTGCTCGGGGGTCCCCCGTGCGGGAGGCTGTTTTAGGGGTCTCAGGGCTGTTTTGGGGTCTCTCTGGTTCTCCCCCTTTCTCCCCCAGACGTGGATGAGTGCTCAGGGGTCCCCCCGTGCGGGAGTCCATGAAGTGCCTGAACCATTTCGAGGTACCTCTGCCTGCCCGCTCGGCCCGCTGCTCAGCCCCGCCCCGGACCCGCCCGGCCCGCCCCTCCGCCTCAAGCCCCGCCCCTCCGCCGGCCCCGCCCATCGGCAGGCGCTGCCCCCAGCTACGGCCCGCCCCAGCGGCACCTGCACAGAGTGAGGGGAGAGCTTAAAGAGATGTGTCAGTAGGGGCAGGGCTAAATGAGGTGTGGTGTGGGCAGGGGTTAAATGGAGGTGTGGTGTGGGGAGGGGCTAAATGGGGTGTGGTGTGGGCGGGGTTAAATGGGAGTGTGGTGTGAGGAGGGGCTAAATGGGGTGTGGTTGGGTGAGGCTAAATGGGGTGTGGTGTGGGTGGGGCTAAATGGGGGTGTGGTTGTTGGGGCGGGGCTAAATGGGGTGTGGTGTGGTGTGGGGCTAAAGGGGTGTGGTTGTTGGGGCGGGAGCTAAAAGGGTGTGGTGTGGGCGGGGGTTAAATGGGGTGTGGTTGTTGGGGGGCGTGGCTAAAAGGGGTGTGGTGTGGGCGAGGCTAAATGGGAGTGTGGTTGTTGGGGTGGGGCTAAAGGGGGTGTGGTGTGGGTGGGGCTAAATGGGGTGTGGTTGTTGGGGCTAAATGGGGTGTGGTTGTTGAGGCTAAATGGGGTGTGGTTGTTGGGGCGGGGCTAAATAGGGTGTGGTGTGGGTGGGGCTAAATGGGGTGTGGTGTGGGTGGGGCTAAATAGGGTGTGGTTGTTGGGGCGGGGCTAAATGGGGTGTGGTGTGGGTGGGGTTAAATGGGGTGTGGTGTGGGCGGGGCTAAATGGGGTGTGGTGTGGGTGGGGCTAAATGGGGTGTGGTTGGGGGTGGGGTTAAATGGGGTGTGGTGTGGGCGGGGTTAAATGGGGTGTGGTTGGGCGGGGCTAAATGGGGGTGTGGTTGGGGTGGGGTTAAATGGGGTGTGGTGTGGGTGGGGTTAAATGGGGTGTGGTTCTTGAGGTAGGGCTAAATGGGGTGTAGTTGGGGTGGGGTTAAATGGGGTGTGGTTGTTGGGGCGGGGCTAAATGGGGTGTGGTGTGGGTGGGGTTAAATGGGGTGTGGTTGTAGGCGGGGTTAAATGGGGTGTGGTGTGGGTGGGGTTAAATGGGGTGTGGTGTGGGCGGGGCTAAATGGAGTGTGTGTGGGTGGGGTTAAATGGGGGGTGGTTGGGCGGGGCTAAATGGGGTGTGGTGTGGGGCGGGGCTAAATGGGGTGTGGTGTGGGCGGGGCTAAATGGGGTGTGGTGTGGGCGAGAGGCTAAATGGGGGGTGTGGTGGGGCGGGGCTAAATGGGGTGTGGTTGTTGGGCGTAGGCTAAATGGGGTGTGGTGTGGGGCGGGGCTAAATGGGGTGTGGAGTGTGGTCAATGTGGGTGTGTCTGTGGGTGTGTCTGTGGGTGTGGTCAATGTGGGTGTGGTCAATGTGGGTGGAGTCAATGTGGGTGTGGTCAATGTGGGTGTGTCCATGGGTGTGGTCAATGTGGGAGTGTGGGTGGAGTCAATGTGGGTGTGGCTGTGGGTGTGGTCAATAGTGGGTGTGAGTCAATGTGGGTGTGGTCCAATGTGGGTGTGGTCAATGTGGGCTGTGGTCAATGTGGGTGTGTCTGTGGGTGTGTCTGTGGGTGTGGTCAATGTGGGTGTGGTCAATGTGGGTGGAGTCAATGTGGGTGTGGTCAATGTGGGTGTGGTCAATGTGGGTGTGTCTGTGGTCAATGTGGGTGGGGTTAATGTGGGTGTGGTCAACGTGGGTGTGGTCAATGTGGGTGTGGTCAATGTGGGTGTGTCTGTGGGTGTGGTCAATGTGGGTGTGGTCAATGTGGGTGTGGTCAATGTGGGTGTGGTCAATGTGGGTGGAGTCAATGTGGGTGTGGTCAATGTGGGTGGGGTCAATGTGGGTGGGGTTAACGGGGGTGTCACCCCAAGACTGGGGGTCCCTGGGAGGGTCTGGGGAGTCCTTGGGGGTCCCCAAGATTGGGAGTCCCTGGGCAGGTCTGGGGGCTCCCTGGGGGGGATTTTGGGGTTCCAAATGTCCCCTTTTTTTATCCCCCCTTCCCCCCAGACGTGGACGAGTGCCTGGGGGTCCCCCAAGACTGGGGGTCCCTGGGAGGGTCTGGGGTGTCCTTGGGGGTCCCCAAGACTGGGGGTCCCTGGGAGAGTCCTTGGGGGCTCCCTGGGGGGATTTTTGGGTGCTGGGTGTCCCCCTTTTTACCCTCCCCAGGCGTGGGCGAGGTGCCTGGGGGTCCCCAAGACACCCACTACGGCGGCCGCGGAGCCTGCCGGGCTTCAGGTGAGACCCCAAAAATGGGACCCCCTAAACCCCTGAGCCCCCTGAACCCAAAATACCCCCCCTGGAGCCTGCTGAGCCTCAGGTGAGACCCCCAAAAATTGGGACCCCAAAACCTCCTGAACTCCCAAACCTCCTGAAAACCCCAGAGCCTGCCTGGCTTCAGGTGAGACCCCCAAAAGTGGGACCCCCAAAACCCCCTGAGCCCCCTGAACCCAAAATACCCCCCTGGAGCCTGCTGGGCCTCAGGTGAGACCCCCAAAGTGGGACCCCCAAAACCCCCTGAGCCCCCTGAACCCAAAATACCCCCAGAGCCTGCCGGGGTTCAGGTGAGACCCCCCAAAAATTGGGACCCCAAAACCCCCTGAGCCCCCTGAACCCTAAATACCCCCTGGAGCCTTCCCGGCTTCAGGTGAGACCCAAAAGTGGGACCCCAAAACCCCCTGAGACCAAAATACCCCCTGAACCCAAAATACCCTCCCCAGAGCCTGCCCGGCTTCAGGTGAGACCCCCAAGAATTGGGAGCCCCAAAACCCCCTGAGCCCCCTGAACCCAAAATACCCCCTGGAGCCTGCTGAGCCTCAGGTGAGACCCCCAAAAATTGGGACCCCCAAAACCCCCTGAGCCCCCTGAACCCAAAATACCCCCCCTGGAGCCTGCTGAGCCTCAGGTGAGACCCCCCAAAAAATGGGACCCCCAAAGCCCCCTGAGCCCCCTGGGCCCAAATACCCCCTGGAGCCTGCCGGGGTTCAGGTGAGACCCCCTCAAAACCGTCCCATTTCACCCCAAAACTGGGCTGGGGGGGGGGATGGGAAGAGCACAGGGGGTCCCCAGAGAGGGGGACCCCTGAGTTGGGGTTTCCCTGCAGGCACCAGGCCCTGTGGGAGCGTTACATGGCAGCCATCAGCGCCTGCCTGCTGCGCATGTACCACGAGTGACCCCCCAAAACAGCACCCCAAAAACGGGGGACCCCAAAACAGCACCCCAAAAACGGGGGGACCCCGAAAACAGCACCCCAAAAAATGGGGGGACCCCAAAACAGCACCCCGAAAAATGGGGGACCCCAAAAACCGACCCCTGATCAGCGCCTGCCTCCTGAGCATGGACCACGAGTGACCCCCCAAAACAGCACCCCAAAAATGGGGGACCCCGAAAACAGCACCCCAAAAAATGGGGGACCCCAAAAATGGACACCATGAAAAATGGGAGACCCCAAAAACTGACCCCTGGATCAGCACCTGCCTCCTGAGCATGGACCACGAGTGACCCCCCAAAACAGCACCCCAAAAACGGGGGACCCCAAAACAGCACCCCAAAAAATGGGGGACCCCAAAAATGGACACCCCAAAAATGGGGGACCCCAAAAACAGCACCTCGAGGAATGGGGGACCCCAAAAAATTGGGGGGGGACATCCCCAAAATTTGGGGTGGGGGGACCCCAAAATTTGGGGGGTGTTTGTAATAAAAGCTCGGTTGGAAACGGAGCTGATTTGGGAGGTGTCTGGGGGGAGGGAGGGGGATTTGGGGTGGGGGAGGGCAGGATTTTGAGGGGAGGGGCAGAGTTTTGGGGGGGCAGGGGTCAGGGTTTAGGGACCCCCACAAAATCTAAACTAGGGGGGAGGGCAGAGTTTGAAGGAGGGAGGGTGTCCTAATCTCCATTTGGGGGGAGGGGCAGAATCCCCGATGATTTTGGGGGGAGGGGATGGATCGAGGGGTAGGTGGGGGAGGGCTTTGGAATTTTTGGGGAAAGGGGAGGAGCCTGAGGCGGGGAGGGGGCCAGAGCCGAGCAGGGTAAGTGAGGCCACGGGGGCTTTTTTGGGGGGGAGGGACGCTTCATCCCTCCCCACCCCGCCATTCTCGGGAGTCCCCCAAGTCGCCCCTCCCCCAATTCCCCCCTCCCCATCCCGCAGAGGGAGGGGCAGCCCAGGAAGATGGAAGGAGGTGGGGGAGGGTGGCAGATTGAGGGTGACCCCCTCAACTCCCGCCCCTCCCCAGCGCGATGAGCCCCCGCTTCTTCCTCTTCCTCTTCCTCTTCCTCATCCCCGGCGCGGCCGCCGCAGCCCCGGAACCGGAAGAGGCCGGAGGATTACACGGTGGGGAGGGGCGATTTTGAGGGGAGGGTGGGAGAAGGGGACCCCCTCCCCATTTAAACTCTCCTCCCCTCCCCCAAAAAAACTTCTTCTTTAGCCCCTCCCCTTTCTCAAACTTTTCGGGGCCGTTGTGGGGGGGTAGGGGGAGGGGCGAAGGGTGTGGGGAGGGGCTGGAGGGGTCCTGGTCCCCCTCTTAAACTGTCCCAACCCCCAAAAACAATCCTGATTCCCCCTAAAAACTCCTCTCTGGCCCCTCCCCAAACTTTTGGGACCGTTGTGGCGATGGGGAGAGGGCGAGGGAGTGAGGAGGAGGGTGGGGAGGATCCCAAACCCCAAAACCACTCCTGATCCCCCAAAAACCTCTCTGGCCCTCCCCTCCAAAAAACTTCGGGGCTGTTGTGGGGAGGGCGGGGATGGGGAGGGAGTGGAGGAGGGGTCGAGGGTGTATTTTGAGGAGGGTGACCCCCTGTCCCCTCCCAGGAGTGCAGCGATGGGTACGAGTGGGACCCGAGACCGAGCACTGCAAAGGTGGGGAGGAGGGGCCCAGTTTGGGGGAGGGGTCCCAGTTTTGGGGGAGGGTCCCCAGTTTTTGAGGTGGTCCCCAATTTGGGGGGAGACAATTTTGAGAGGGCCAATCTGGGGAGGGCCCCAATTTTTGAGGGAGGTGACCCCAGTTTGGGAGGAGGATCCCCAATTTTGTTTTGGTGGGGAGGTTACCCCATTTTTTGGGGGGGTGGGGGGTACTCTCAGGGGTCCCGGGGCTGTTTTGGGAGGGTCTCACATCAGGGGCTGGTTTTGGGGGGTCTCAGGGCTGTTTTTTGGGGGCTCTCAGGGCTGTTTTTGGGGGGATCTCGGGGGTCTCTCCTGGTTTTCCCCCCCTTTCCCCCCCCCGATGTGGATGAGTGCTCGGGGGGTCCCCCCCCATGCCGGGGGTGTTTTTGAGGGGTCTCAGGGCTGTTTTGGGGGTATCTCGGGGGTCTCTCCTGGTTCTCCCCCCCTTTCTCCCCCCCCAGATGTCGATGAGTGCTCGGGGTCCCCATGCCAGGGGGTGTTGTTTTGAGGAGTCTCAGGGCTGTTTTTGGGAGTCTTGGGGCTGTTTTGGGGTCTCTCCTGGTTCTCCCCCTCTTTGCCCCCAGGCGTTGATGAGTGCTCAGGGGGTCCCCCCCCGTGCCAGGGGTGTTTTTGGGGGGTCCCAGGGCTGTTTTGGGGGTATCTCAGGGGTCTCTCCTGGTTCTCCCCCTCTTTTGCCCCCCCCAGACGTTGATGAGTGCTCAGGGGGTCCCCCCCCGTGCCGGGGGTGTTTTTGGGGGGTCCCAGGGCTGTTTTGGGGGGGTCTCAGGGCTGTTTTTGGGGGGTCTTGGGGCTGTTTTTGGGGGTCTCTCCTGGTTCTCCCCCTCTTTTCCCCCCCCCAGACGTTGATGAGTGCTCCGGGGGTCCCCCCCCATGCTGGGGGTGTTTTTAGGGGGTCTCTGGGGGTCCCAGGGCTATTTTTGGGGGTCTCTCCTGGTTCTCCCCCCCTTTTCCCCCCCCCAGATGTCGATGAGTGCTCTGGGGGTCCCAGGGCTGTTTGGGGGGTCTCAGGGCTGTTTTTGGGGGTCTCTCCTGGTTCTCCCCCCCTTTTCCCCCCCCCAGACGTGGATGAGTGCTCGGGGGGTCCCCCCCATGCCGGGGCTGTTTTTGGGGGTCTCTGGGGGTCCCAGGGCTGTTTTTGGGGGTCTCTCCTGGTTCTCCCCCCCTTTTCCCCTCCCCAGACGTGGATGAGTGCTCAGGGGGTCCCAGGGCTGTTTTGGGGGGGTCTCTGGGGTCTCTCCTGGTTCTCCCCCCCTTTTCCCCCCCCCTAGATGTGGATGAGTGCTCAGGGGGTCCCCCCCCGTGCCGGGGCTGTTTTTGGGGGTCTCAGGGCTGTTTTTAGGGGTCCCAGGGCTGTTTTGGGGGTCTCTCCTGGTTCTCCCCCTTTCCCCCCAGATGTCGATGAGTGCTCAGGGGTCCCAGGGCTGTTTGGGGGTTTCTGGGGTCTCAGGGCTGGTTTGGGGGTCCCAGGGCTGTTTTGGGGTCTCTCCTGGTTCTCCCCCTTTTCCCCTCCCAGACGTCGATGAGTGCTCAGGGGTCCCAGGGCTGTTTTGGGGAGTCTCTCCTGGTTCTCCCCCTTTCTCCCCCAGATGTGGATGAGTGCTCAGGGGTCCCCCGTGCAGGGGCTGTTTTGGGGGTTTCTGGGGGTCCCAGGGCTGTTTTGGGGGTATCTCGGGGGTCTCTCCTGGTTCTCCCCATTTCCCCCCAGATGTCGATGAGTGCTCAGGGGGTCCCAGGGCTGTTTTTGGGGGTTTCTGGGGTCCTGGGGCTGTTTTTGGGGGTCTCTGGGGGTCCCGGGGCTGGTTTTGGGGTCTCTCCTGGTTCTCCCCCCCTTTCCCCCCCCCCAGATGTCGATGAGTGCTCAGGGGGTCCTCCCGTGCGGGAGGCTGTTTTAGGGGGTCTCAGGGCTGTTTTGGGGGTCTCTCCTGGTTCTCCCCCCTTTCTCCCCCCCCCAGACGTGGATGAGTGCTCAGGGGGTCCCCCCCCGTGCCGGGGGTCCATGAAGTGCCTGAACCATTTCGGGGGGTACCTCTGCCTGCCCCGCTCGGCCGCGCTGCTCAGCCCCGCCCCCGGACCCGCCCCGGCCCCGCCCCTCCGCCTCAAGCCCCGCCCCTCCGCCGGCCCCGCCCATCGACGGGCGCTGCCCCCGGCTACGGCCCGCCCCAGACGGCACCTGCACAGGTGAGGGGAGGGCTTAAGAGTGTGTCAGTAGGGCAGGGGCTAAATGGAGGTGTGGTGTGGGCGGGGTTAAATGGGGTGTGGTGTGGGGAGGGCTAAATGGGGTGTGGTGTGAGGCGGGGTTAAATGGGGTGTGGTGTGGGAGGGGCTAAATGGGGTGTGGTTGGGTGGGGCTAAATGGGGTGTGGTGTGGGTGGGGCTAAATGGGGTGTGGTTGTTGGGGCGGGGCTAAATGGGGTGTGGTGTGGGTGGGGGCTAAAGGGTGTGGTTGTTGGGCGGGGCTAAAGGGGTGTGGTGTGGCGGGGGTTAAATGGGGTGTGGTTGTTGGGGCGTGGCTAAAAGGGGTGTGGTGTGGGCGGGGCTAAATGGGGTGTGGTTGTTGGGGCGGGGCTAAAGGGAGTGTGGTGTGGGTGGGGCTAAATGGGGTGTGGTTGTTGGGGCTAAATGGGGTGTGGTTGTTGGGGCTAAATGGGGTGTGGTTGTTGGGGCGGGGCTAAATGGGGTGTGGTGTGGGTGGGGCTAAATGGGGTGTGGTAGTGGGTGGAGGCTAAATAGGGTGTGGTTGTTGGGGCGGGGCTAAATGGGGTGTGGTGTGGGTGGGGTTAAATGGGGTGTGGTGTGGGCGGGGCTAAATGGGGTGTGGTGTGGGTGGGGCTAAATGGGGTGTGGTTGGGGGTGAGGGTTAAATGGGGGTGTGGTGTGGGCGGGGTTAAATGGGGTGTGGTTGGGTGGGGCTAAATGGGGTGTGGTTGGGGTGGGGTTAAATGGGGTGTGGTGTGGGGTAGGGGTTAAATGGGGGTGTGGTTCTTGGGGGTGGGGCTAAATGGGGTGTGGTTGTGGGTGGGGTTAAATGGGGTGTGGTTGTTGGGGCGGGGCTAAATGGGGTGTGGTGTGGGTGGGGTTAAATGGGAGTGTGGTTGTTGGGGCGGGGTTAAATGGGGTGTGGTGTGGGTGGGGTTAAATGGGGTGTGGTGTGGGCGGGGCTAAATGGGGTGTGGTGTGGGTGGGGTTAAATGGGGTGTGGTGTGGGCGGGGCTAAATGGGGTGTGGTTGTTGGGGCGGGGCTAAATGGGGTGTGGTGTGGGCGGGGCTAAATGGGGTGTGGTGTGGGCAGGGCTAAATGGGGAGTGTGGTGTGGGCGGGGCTAAATGGGGTGTGGTGTGGGCGGGGCTAAATGGGGTGTGGTGTGGGCGGGGCTAAATGGGGTGTGGGTGTGGTCAATGTGGGTGTGTCTGTGGGTGTGTCTGTGGGTGTGGTCAATGTGGGTGTGGTCAATGTGGGTGGAGTCAATGTGGGTGTGGTCAATGTGGGTGTGTCCATGGGTGTGGTCAATGTGGGAGTGTGGGTGGAGTCAATGTGGGTGTGGCTGTGGGTGTGGTCAATGTGGGTGTGGTCAATGTGGGTGTGGTCAATGTGGGTGTGGTCAATGTGGGTGTGGTCAATGTGGGTGTGTCTGTGGGTGTGTCTGTGGGTGTGGTCAATGTGGGTGTGGTCAATGTGGGTGGAGTCAATGTGGGTGTGGTCAATGTGGGTGTGGTCAATGTGGGTGTGTCTGTGGTCAATGTGGGTGGGGTTAATGTGGGTGTGGTCAATGTGGGTGTGGTCAATGTGGGTGTGGTCAATGTGGGTGTGTCTGTGGGTGTGGTCAATGTGGGTGTGGTCAATGTGGGTGTGGTTAATGTGGGTGGGGTCAATGTGGGTGGAGTCAATGTGGGTGTGGTCAATGTGGGTGGGGTCAATGTGGGTGGGGTTAACGGGGGTGTCACCCCAAGACTGGGGGTCCCTGGGAGGGTCTGGGGAGTCCTTGGGGGGTCCCCCAAGATTGGGGGTCCCTGGGCAGGTCTGGGGGCTCCCTGGGGGGGATTTTGGGGTTCCAAATGTCCCCTTTTATCCCCTCCCCCAGACGTGGACGAGTGCCTGGGGGTCCCCCAAGACTGGGGGTCCCTGGGAGGGTCTGGGGTGTCCTTGGGGGGTCCCCCAAGACTGGGGGTCCCTGGGAGGGTCTGGGGGCTCCCTGGGGGGATTTTTGGGTGCTGGGTGTCCCCCTTTTTACCCTCCCCCAGGCGTGGGCGAGGGTGCCTGGGGGTCCCCCAAGACTGGGGGTCCCTGGGAGGGTCTGGGGGCTCCCTGGGGGGGATTTTGGGCTTCCAAACGTCCCCCTTTTTACCCCCCCTCCCTCCCAGACGTGGATGAGTCTTTGGGGGGTCCCCCAAGACTGGGGGTCCCTGGGCAGGTCTGGGGGCTCCCTGAGGGGGATTTTGGGGTCCCTTTTTACCCCCCCTCCCCCCCAGATGTGGATGAGTGTCTGATGGTCCCCCAAAAGACTGGGGTCCTGAGGGTCCTTGGGGTCCCGAAGACTGGGGGTCCTTGAGGTCTGGGGCTCCCCAAGACTGGGAGTCCCTGGGAAGGTCTGGGGGCTCTCTGGGGGGGATTTTGGGGTTCCAAACGTCCCCCTTTTTTTACCCCCCCTCCCCCCCAGACATGGATGAGTCTTTGGGGGGCTCCCCCAAGACTGGGGGTCCCTGGGAGGGTCTGGGGGGTCCTTGGGGGTCCCCCCCAAGACTGGGGGTCCCTGGGTGGGTCTGGGGGTCCCCCAAGACTGGGGGTCCCTGGGCAGGTCTGGGGTGTCCCTGGGGGGGATTTTGGGGTTCCAAACGTCCCCCTTTTTTACCCCCCCTCCCCCAGACGTGGACGAGTGCCTGGGGTCCCCCGTGCCGGCCCAGCCAGGATTGCATCAACACCCGGGGGCTTGAGTGCCGCTGCCCCCGGGTACCGGCCACCCGCAGCACCGAGTGCGTCGGTCAGTCCGGCTGGGGGGCTGGGGGGATTTGGGGGTGGGGAGAGGGTTTGGGGGGTTATGGTGGGGCTGGGGGGGATTTGGGATGGGTATGGGGTGATATGGGGGCTGGGGGATTTGGGGTGTAGGGGGATATTGGGGGCTCTAGGGGAGGATTTGAGGGGATTTGGGAGGGGTATGGGGTGATATGGGGAGCTGGGGATTTGGGGTGTAGGGGGATATTGGGGGCTCGAGGGAGGATTTGGGGGATTTGGGAGGGTATGGGGTGATATGGGAGCTGGGGGGATTTGGGGGATTGGGGGGTGGGGAGAGGTTTGGGGTGTTATGATGGGGCTGGGGGATTTGGGAGAGGTATGGGTGATATGGGGGCCGGGGGATTTGGGGGATTGGGGATGGATATGGGGGCTGGGGGGATTTGGGATGGATCTGGGGGTGGGGGGTTTATGATGGGGCTGGGGGATTTGGGGGGGGTGGGAGAGAGGCTTGGGGGTTATGGTGGGGCTGAGGGGATTTTGGGAGGGTATGGGGTGATATGGGGGGCTGGGGGATTTGGGGTGTAGGGGGATATTGGGGGTCTCAGGGGCTCAGGGGGATTTGGGATGGATCTGGAGTGATATGGTGGGGTCTGGGGGATTTGGGGGATTTGGGAGTGGGAGAGGGTTTGGGGGTTAGTGGCTGGGGTGGATTTGAGGGGGTATGGAGATATGGGGCTGGGGGATTTGGGGGTAGGGGGGATATTGGGGGCTCTAGGGGGGATATTGGGGGGATATTGGGGGAGATTTGAGGGGTGGGAGAGGGTTTGGGGGTTATGGTGGGGTGGGTCTGGGGGTCTGGGGGATTTGGGGGTGGGAGAGGGTTTGGGGGGTTATGGTGGGGCTGAGGGGTCTGGGGGGGGTCTGGGGGGATTTGGGGGGTGGGAGAGGGTTTGGGGGTTATGGTGGGGCTGAGGGGTCTGAGGGGGTCTTGGGGGATTTGGGGGTGGGAGAGGGTTTGGGGGGTTATGGTGGTGGGCTGAGGGGTCTGGGGGTCTGGGGATTTGGGGGTGGGAGAGGTTTGGGGGCAGGTAGGCTGGGAATTTGGATGGATATGGGGTGATATGGGGGCTGGGGATTTGGGGGTGTAGGAGGGATATGGGGGCTCATGGGGATTTGGGGGATTTGGGAGGGAGTGGGGTGATATGGGGAGCTGGGGGATTTGGGGGTGGGAGAGGGTTTGGGGTGTTATGATGGGGCTGGGGGATTTGGGAGGGGTATGGGGTGATATGGGGAGCTGGGGGATTTGGGGGTGGGAGAGGGTTTGGAGGGTTATGGTGGGGCTGGGGGATTTGGGGGGGGTATAGGGTGATATGGGGGGCAGGGGGATTTGGGATGGATCTGGGGGCTGGGGTTATGGTGGGGCTGGGGTTTGGGGGTCTGGGGATTGTGGGAGTGTAGGGGGGGCTCAGGGGGATTTGGGATGGGTGTGAGGGTGACATGGGGGCTGGGGGATTTGGAGGGTGTGGGGCTGGGATTTAGGGGGTCTCAGGGGATTTGGGGGTCACTTGGGGTGGGGTGTGGGGGTGATCCTGGGAGTCTTGGGAGGGGCTAGGGGGTTTGGGCTGGGGCTTGGTGGGGGCGAAGGGGCTTAGGGGGTAGAAGCTTCAGGGGTGTTTCTGGGGTATTTTGGGGTGATTTTGGGGGTGATTTTAGGAGCATTTCTGGGGGCTGCATTTCTGGGGTATTTTGGGGCGATTTGGGGTTGATTTTTGGGTGTTTTTGGGGGTGATTTCGGGGTGGTTTTGGGCACAGATGAGGACGAGTGCTGGGCGGGTGTTCCAGGGGTGTTCTGGGGTTATTTTTGTGTGATTTTTGGTGCGTTCTTGAGTTGATTTTGGGGTGGTTTTGGGGATGTCTTTGGGGTTGATTTTGGGGTGGTTTTGGGGGTGATTTTGGGAAGGTTTTGGGGGTGATTTTGGGGCGTTTTGGGGGGTTTGGGGGTGATTTGGGGGTGGTTTTGGGGGTGATTTTTGGGTGGTTTTGGGGGTGATTTTGAGTTGGTGTTGGGGGTGATTTTGGGGTGTTTTTGGGAAGGTTTTGGGTGTGACTTTGGGAATGTTTTGGGGGTGATTTTGGGGTGTTTTTGAGGGGGTTTTGGGGGTGATTTTGGGTTGGTGTTGGGGGTGATTTTGGGATGTTTTTGGGTGTGATTTTGGGAATGTTTTGGGGGTGATTTTGGGGTGTTTTTGGGGGGGTTTTGGGGGTGATTTTGAGTGGTGTTGAGGTGGTTTGGGGGCGATGCTTTGAGGGTGGTTTGGGGGTGATTTTGAGGTGGTGTTGGGGGTGATTTTGGGGTGGTTTTGGGGGTGATTTTGGGAAGGTTTTGGGGGTGTGATTTTGGGAAGGTTTTGGGGGTGATTTTCAGGTGGTTTTGGGGGTGTTTTGGGGGTGATTTTGGGTGAATGGTTTTAGAGGGGTGATTTTGGGGTGGTGTTTTGGGGGGGTTTGGGGTGTTTTTTGAGGTGTTTTTGGAGGTGATTTTGAGGTGGTTTTGGGTGTGATTTTGGGGTGTTTTTTGGGGGATTTTGGGGTTATTCTGGGTTGATTTTGGGGCTCTGCAGATGAAGATGAGTGCCAGTTCCGCTGGTGCCAGCACAGCTGCGCCAACTCCCCCGGTGCCTTCTCGTGCCGCTGCCACCCCGGCTTCAGCCTCGGCCCCGACGGCCGCTCCTGCCTCGGTCAGAGCCCCCCAAAAAACAGAAAAAATCACCCTGAACCCCTCCCAAAAATCACCCCGAGTGCCCCCTGACCCCAAAAACCTGCCCTTGTCCCCCAGTCAACCCCGAGACCCCAAAAACCTGCCCCTGTCTCCCCCCCGACCCCAAAAACCTGTCCCTGCCCCTTTTTTAGCCCCCAAAAACCTGTCCCTGTCCCTTTTTTAACCCCTTCAGACCCCAAAATCCTGTCCCTGCCCCTTTTTTAGCCCCCAAAATCCTGTCCCTCTCCCTTTTTTAGCCCCAAAATCCTGTCCCTGTCCCTTTTTTACCCCCCCAGACCCCCCAAAACCTGTCCCTGTCCCTTTTTTAGCCTCCTCAGACCCCCAAAATCTTGTCCTTGTCCCTCCAGACATGGCTGAGCGCTCGATAGGCGCCCACTGCTCCAAAAAAACCCTCCCAAAAATCACCCTGAGCCCCCCCAGACCCCCAAAATCCTGTCCCTGTCCCTTTTTTAGCCCCAAAAATCCTGTCCCTGTCCCCCCAGATGTGGCCGAGTGCCTCGTGGGGCGCTCGCCCAAAAACCCCTCCCAAAATCACCCTGAGCCCCAGACCCCAAAATCCTGTCCCTGTCCCTTTTTAGCCCCAGACCCCAAAATCCTGTCCCTGTCCCTTTTTACCCCCCAGACCCCCAAAATCCTGTCCCTGTCCCTTTTTTACCCCCCCAGACCCCCAAAATCCTGTCCCTGTCCCTTTTTTAGCCCCCAAAATCCTGTCCCTGTCCCTTTTTTACCCCCCCAGACCCCCAAAATCCTGTCCCTGTCCCTTTTTAGCCCCCAAAAATCCTGTCCCTGTCCCTTTTTACCCCCCCCAGACCCCCAAAATCCTGTCCCTGTCCCTCTTTTAGCCCCCAAAATCCTGTCCCTGTCCCTTTTCCCCCCCCAGATGTGGCCGAGTGCTCGATGGGTGCTCGCTGCTCCAAAAAACCCCTCCCAAAAATCACCCTGAGCCCCCCCAGACCCCCAAAATCCTGTCCCTGTCCCCTTTTCCCCCCCCAGATGTGGATGAGTGCTCGATGGGCGCTCGCTGCTCCCAGCGCTGCCTCAACACCTTCGGCTCCTTCCGCTGCCGCTGCCGCCCCGGCTTCGCCCTCGGCCCCGACGGGAGCTCCTGCACCGGTGGGACCCCCAAAAAACCCCCCAAAATCCACACCCCATCCCCCACGTGGGGCTGGGACACGCCCACAGGGCTGGGGACACGCCCACAGATGAGAGCTCCGCCCACAGGGTCATGACGTCACCACCACCACCACCCCACTTTTGGGGTCTCTGATCCCCATTGGGGGTCTGTGTTTTCCCCCCCAGGTTGGGGGTCTCTGATTCAACCCCCCATTGGGGGTCTCTGTTTTCCCCCCCAGGTTGGGGGTCTCTGATTCAACCCCCCATTGGGGGTCTCTGTTTTCCCCCCAATTGGGGGTCTCTTTCTGATCCCCCCCCACATTGGGGGTCTCTGTTTCCCCCCTTGGTGGTCTCTGATCCTCATTGGGGGTCTGTCTCTGTCCCCTCCCCCCGGGGGTCTCACCATGTTTCTGTCCCCACCATTGGGGGTCTCTCTCTGACTCCCCCTCTCAATTGGGGGTCTCTGTTTCCCCACCCCCGAGGGTCTCTGACCCCTCCCCTCAATTAGGGGTCCCTCTCTGACCCCCCACATTGGGGTCCTCTCTGACCTCCACATTGGGGTCCTCTCTGACCCCCCCATTGGGGGTCTCTCTCTGTGCAGATGTCGATGAGTGCCGGGGGGGTCTCGTGCCAGCACCGCTGCCAGAACCTCCCGGGGGCTTCAGCTGCCTCTGCCCCCGGCTACGCCCACAGGGGGCCTCTGCCAGGGTAGGGGGCTTTGGGGGGCTGGAGTTATGGAGGTGGTCTGGGGGTTTATGGGGCAGTTTGGGGGTTATAGGCAGTTTGGGGGTTTTGGGGTGGTTTGGGGGTTTATGGGTGGTTTGGGGGTTATGGGGTGGTTTGGGGGTTATGGGGTGGTTTGGGGGTAGTAGGGGGCAGTTTGGGGGTTTATGGGCGGTTTGGGGGTTTTGGGGTGTTTTGGGGGGCTTGCAGTCTCTGCCCCCGGCTACGGCCACAGGGGGCTCTGCCAGGGTAGGGGGCTCTGGGGGGGTTTTGGGGCGGTTTGGGGCAGTTTAGGGTGGTTTGGGGGGTTTATGGGGGTTTTGGGGTGGTCTGGGGGCTTCAGCTGCCTCTGCCCCCCGGCCACGGCCACAGGGGGCTCTGCCAGGGTAGGGGCTTTGGGGGGCTGGGGGGGTTATGGGGATTGGGGGGCGGTTTTGGGGGTTTTGGGGGGCACTGAGGTGGTTTATGGGGTGGGGGCCAGGTGGGATTTGGAGGGGCTGGGGTGTGTTTGGGGGGGTCTCTGGGGCAGTTCCTGGGGGTCTCTGAGGTGTTTTTGGGGAGTTTCTGGTGCATTTGGGGTCTCTGAGATTATTTGGGGTC